TTTGGATACTCAGGGCTTTTTGTGGTATTGATATTACAGAAGAGAGCAAAAGAAGGTGCTGAGTGAGAACTGTGAGTGCATAAAGCAGCTGGCAAATATTTCTCTGTTAGAAAGTGTAAACATGAATCTGTTACAGTTGTTTCTTACAGCAAAGCAGAACTGCATTTTAGTTGGTCTGATACTGCTTGATGCAGCTGTTGTTACACTATCAGCAAGTGTTTGTCTTTAACTGTGATTGCTGTTCTGGAGAGTTAGGTGGTCACAGGGCTGATCTCCAGGTCTCCACTTCCTTCATGCTCAGTGCTCAAAGCAGAGCATAGGGAGACCCTGTGCAAAGCAGGACATGGATTTGCCCTTTGGGAAAGCTTCCTCCCCTTCGCCTGGAAAAAGAGGGCAAGCTGCAGCCAGATGAGATTCTTCCCTTCAAATCCTACAAACCTGTGGTGTTTGGGTAACAGTCATCCTGTGAATTTTACCATCTTGCTTTTCAGAAAAACCTGTAACTTGGATTCCCCCAGTAAGCTTTCTATTTTCCTAGTAAAAGTTGCTGGTTTTAAAGGCTGTTTCCTGACTGCTTCTCTGACCATTGCTAGCAGAATGCCAGATCTCTGATAAAAATCTTCCAGGTTTCCTTGTGTTATCTCACTTCTCAAAGGATATAAATTCAAAGCTTCCTGCAAATAGTTCTGCCTGCAATAGCAGATTACAAATACATCTATATGAGAGGAATGTGACAAAACATTTATTAGTTAATAACATCTTTTCTCCTGGAATCTTAAAATGTTTTTAAAACTTTAGACAAACTCCTTGTTGTTGTTGTGGGTTTTTTTTATTATTATTTTTTTATTGAAATGCAGGAAAAACTGAGGCTCCATGGGTGGAATTTGGCTCTGTTGGGAGATGCTGCAGTACTTGGTCAGGTGCGTGTAGTCCTAGTTTATGAGAAATGAAGAGCACCTGCAGATCTATCTAATTGTTGGAAGAAACCTAGTTTCTGAGCAACACTTGGAAAATGGTGTTTAAATGTTCAAATAGATCTGGTGCCTGAGGCCAAAAACATTAGCTGGGGTGACACCTCCATCCTGTCACAGTGAATCCACTGAGAGCCAAGACTGGAATTCACAGTGATGCAGGAATCCCTTCTGAAATGCATCCCACTTGGTGCTCTGTAGGATTCATACAAAATATTTCCCCCTTCACCCTAGCTTGGACCGTCTGGAAATGGGCCCTGTCCTTATGCAGGGCCAGGACTTCTCAGGCCAAGGGCAGGCCAAGGAGCTTAGCCATGGTTGCTTCTTAATCTTTGAAATGCCAGCTCCACGCCTGCTGCCCAGGGTGGTTTGCCTCCAGACAACAGCTGACGGATCACACCATCTCTGATCTGCCCAGAGGTCTGGGAGCTGCAGCCGAGTCCTGACTCTTACTCGGGTAAATCTGCTCCATTAATAGCAATCAAAGAGCCTGAAGTTTCCATCCAAACTTTATCTGGCTTTGCAGCAAGCTGGAGGATTAAAGACCATTGCAGGGGAAGGGAGGGAGCTGCCTTGGCTCACCCGGAATAGCCTGACCTATGACAGCACGTACCAGCCCGGGGAGGGGAGTCACCCTGTGAGCTCACAGGTTATTAGCAGTGAGCACAGACATGCCTGCAGTCAGCAGCACCCCCAGGGCCATCTGCTCCATCCCAGGCTGCTTTAGGGGGATTTGTTAGTGCAGCTTGCCTGTGTGGCTCTTTGATGGTAGAGCTGGGAGCAGGCTTGAGGGCCTGTTTGTGGAGCTGTAATTTTATGCTCCTCAAATGACCTTAGGGTTTGACCTGGGCTGTTTGTATGGGGTAGGTCTGGTTTTGAGGGGGAATGGTAACCCTTGCCCTGCTGCAGCCTGGGGATGTTGTTTGTCTGCTGTGTCACAGCAAGTAATAAAGGGATCAGAGTGGGCTGTATGGCTGGGGCCTGCCTGTAGGGTGAGCAGGTATGAGGGCACAAGCCTTTACCTACCAGATGGGGGAAGAGCTGAGGAAGCAAGAGCAGGTTTTTTGGCGTAGCCAAGGATTCACTTCTCACAGTCTCTTGTAACTGGTTTTGTTTTCCTTGCCTTGTTCCTCTGCTAGCATTCCTGAGTCCTTTGTTTCACCTGCCCAATGTCACCACTGTGGCAAAGTGCAGGGCTTCTTATTACATTCTCCCCCATTATTCAGAGCTCCTTCTCAGCTGAGCATCACTGTAGTAGGATTTTTTTCCTCCGAGAGAGGCTGTGAGTTAGAGCCCTTTCCAGTGCCCAGTGCTTTGCAGGACATGTGCAGAGCACCTCAGTGGAAGTAGATCTTCTTAGCTGGCTGGATGACCCCTGATTCAGTGTGCTTGTCTCCAGAGGACCAGTGAAACTTCAGATTAAATTCCCAGACATGTGGGTAGCAAGCACACAGCCACCACAATTAATAGGCGCTGGGTGCTGTTCAGTGCTTCACACCAGGACGCACTGAGGCTGCTCCAAACCTTTGATCCCAGCTACCCAGATTCCTCCCAGTTAAATAGTCTCCTTCCCTTGCCTCCAGGCCCAGAAACATTTGACTCTTCTCACTAGTTGGACAGATTCATTGCCCCATAATAAGGTCCTTTGTAATCCAAACAATTCTATTGATCTGCATGTTGGGAGCATAATTCTACTTTGGAATTTTCAGCTTGCATACTTGTCAGTGATGGGTGCTACAGTGCTCTTTGGACAACTAGGAAGTCTCTCAGCAGGTGGGAAATCTGTGCTTCCTAGATCTAGTAGCCTAAGGGAGGACAGCTGAACACAGGGCCTTTGAGCAGCATACTTTCTGAAAGAGGCTCACCACACCTCCTGATGAGAAAGATGAGGCCGTCCTGAATCCTTCTCTCCAGCAGCAGCACTGTTGCTGTGGCATGTGTTCCCTTCACTGGAACAGATGAGCAAAGGAGGCACCAGTGGCTGGTGTACAAGACTCTGCCTATCCAACCAATGTTGCTGCTTATGCTCACAGCCGAGCTCTTCTGTGCCAAGAGTTTGAGAGGAAGAAGGGAATAGTCCCGCTTTCTACTTTCTGCTGCATAGACAGGTTTACCAAGCACGTTAGGCACTTGTAGCCAGAGTGTTTGCTGCTGTTGCTTGTGTTCTAGTTCTGGAGGTTTTTGGTTCAGCTCTTGGTCACAAAGAAGTCAGTCTTCATCTATGTCCTTTCCCCCCCTTTTGCTAACGCTTGAATACCTCAGTAGTCCTAGAGGTGAAAAGAGGCTGTGGAACAGAGGGAGAATGAAAAACCATGAGTCTCTCCTAGGCATTCAATCCCAGCCTAAATAAGGGGATTTATGAGGCAAGTGCTGAATGGCTGCGCTCATTTATCATATTGAGCTTTAGAGTCAGCTATTGTGGTCAGGAGTGAGCTGAGAATATGCATGTTTGTATGGGGGAGAGGGGAACTGAGATTAGGCAAATAGACATAACACAAATGTCCTCTACCTTGGATATGTAAAAAACTGAGAGTAGGTCAAGAAATTCATTTATTGTCTCGAAAGCAGGGTCTGTCACCCGATGTGCAAGAAGCCAATCCACACACACAGGCAAGATGTTTGCCTTAAAATCTAGTTCTGCACAGAGAAGGGACCAGGGTGGGATTCCACAAAGCAAGCTCAGTTTCCTGAAATGCAAGGGCTACTTTTAGTCCCAAAAATGCGAGAAAGAATTTTCTCTCTTAACGTTATTCTCTCACTGGCACACGTGATTGATCAACTGATTCCTCACTTCCATTTAAAGTGGCAATGCTCAGGAATTTCACTACGCCTGCTCAAAGAGTGAGGGGCTTGTTGTTAGTAGGGGTCCTTCTAGCTCTGTGGGTGTGAATTTTAGTATGATAGTGGCTTATTAATATATTAATATTGTGATTTTAATTACTCAGTGCTTTTTTTTTGCCCGGTGCTCAAGGCTGCAACCAAGATAAGCTGTGGACACTGCTCCTTTCCATCTCTTTAATCTGTCCTGCAGGTGTCTTGCAGGCCTGTGTCAAGGCCAGGCTGGTGACTTCTTGGGGTGTTTTTCTCCAGGTGGTGTCTGGTTTTGTCTAATTCTTACTGTTTCACTGTTATCTAGGTCCTGTTTTTATTCTGCATGTCCCTTTTGTTCTCTTTTATGTGATTTTTCTTTTGCGGTGGCTCTACCTTCTTGCCCAGAAAATGAACTGCTTTGTTCAAAGCCTGGGAACAATCCACTTAGCTGCATGGAGGGCTCATTAAGAGAGAAGCTTGATAAGGGAAGTAGTCTGATAAGGTGTTTTGTTTTGTTTTTTTTTAACAGACTGTGGGGAGCTGTGCATGAGAGCACTGAGAGGAACTGGGCTGGCTGCTGGCACTCTCAGACATGACACTTAGACTGAGTGTCATGTAGATTCATGGTGTAAGGTCCCCAGTTGCTCTCAACAGCCAGCTCCTGCCAAGTATGTGCATAGTGAGAAAATGTGCAAAGAAGGTGGGACTTCCACTGCTCCAGCCACCTTCTCTCTGTAAGGAGGTCTCTGCATGGCTTTCTGTGTTTGAGGACGGTCCAGTTCTTCTGGGAGCAAAAAACCTCACCCTGTCTGGACCAGAGACTAGTGTTAGGTCAGGTTAAGTGTGAACACACAACACAAGGCATGTTAGGGATATAGGGACATGGCTGTTTCTTGCTGTTCAGGAGACCAACTAATAGGTTGTTATTGCCTTGTCTGCAAGAATATTTATATCAGTGAAGGACAACCTTCAATCGTGCTCTGTGGTACAGCAAATTATGAGAGGACTGAGTTAATCCTGGTTCAGCTGTGAGCCCCTTTTCAAGCTATGGCTGTGCAGATAAATATTCCAGAAATTCTGAGTAGAAGAATAAAAGAGACTTTTAAAATTACTATGTTGTGAGTAAAAACTTTAAACTGTTTATTTGTCTCTGCTTGGCTATGTCTTAAAGCTTCTTACCTTTTCCCTCTTTTCCCCCTTTTCCCTCTGTTTCTACAGGTCCTTCAGAAGCTTGGGAAAGCAGATGAAACAAAAGATGAGCAGTTTGAGCAGTGCGTCCAGAACTTCAACAAGCAGCTGGTAAGATAATTGGAGATATGTAATTACAGCCTAGGTTTTAGTGTTAGCTTTCAGTAATCCTTTGTGATATGCAATTAAAGCCCACCAAGTTAAATGGTGCCAGAGGCCTATTGAAGTGACCGACAACTTGTAGCTGTTCACTAGTGAGAATTTACACTGGGTCTTCCAGTGTCCCTGTTGTGGAGTCAGTGAGAGTGTGTGCTGAAAAATACTTACTCTAGACCCAAATTTAGGAAAAGAAGTAGCATAACAGCAACATTTCCTTCAGGTTGCAGCTACTTTGTAACTTAGTTTTTCCTGATGGGCTGGAAGTAGAAACACAAGAGCAACATTGTGTCTCTGAAATTTGGGTTGGTTAGGAAATAGAATACAAATAAAAATAAAATGGAAGAAGTCAGATTCAGTTTCCTATGTGCAGCGGAGGGCAAAAGAGACAACAAAAAAAGTATCATTATTTCCTGGCTAAGATCTGAATCTAAATTCCTCTCCATCCTTGCACAATCATAGTGTCAGGCCTGAGTCATTGTTCTTTCACGTGCCTGCTTCAGTGCTGCATTTTAGCCACAAAAATATTTAATGATGTAGCAATTTCCCCCCACCCTCCTACTAAAACAGCATCAGTTTGTGTCTTGAACTGGGTGTGGGTTTGGGTTTTTCTTTAATCCGAAATTTTTAGCCACCTAGAGGAAGGGAAAACATTGGTTACCTTGGGGCATTAGCATCATAGTGCTTGGTGTTAAGGGAAGTGTTGTTTCTGCTTCATGGTGGGAAATGCATGTCACACCAAAGCTCAGATGGTGCTGAAGAAAAATATTTTAGCTCCTTTGTCTTCTGACGTATTGAGGACCTTTTTCTGGAGCTCTTAGTAGCAGCTGCATCATGTTAAGACTCAGCAGATGTGGATATGTCGCAAAACCAGCTGAGGAGGGATTTGCCATGGCTGAATATAATGAAAATCTTTCAGTCTGACTTTGATTTATGTCTAACTGGAGCTGAGTGCAAATTCCTGAAGACTAAAGCTCATTCTCTTGGCAGGGATAGTAGCTGTTGTTCCAGAAGTTCATGCAACATCTCTATAGCATGTCCACCAATTATATTCTCTTGTACACAGAGGAATAGTTTGGCTTCTTTCTGACAATATGACGTTACCAGGTGTGACTTTTTCATATAATTTTTAAGTATTGGCCATCAGGAAATAGCTGTTTTAAAGGAGAAATACTGAAAAACTCAAATCCAAGCTTCTGGATCTGGCTGTCTGAGATGGCTTTTCATTTTCCAAAGCCATGATGAGTTCCAGTGGTGCACTGAGAAGCTAAATGTCTTTTCCTGTCTTGCAGGGGCAGGCCATTAACTAAATTATGGAAGGAACTTGAGGCTGGTCTGCGTTGTCTGCTTGGGGTCTGCCAGTTTGACTTTCACCCTCAGTTTCCCTATTAGTAAAATAAGGGCAAACAATGCCTGCTTTACAGGACAACCCATAAATGTGTGTTAGTTGAATGGTTAAGATAGCCAGGGCTGAGGAATTATTGTGATGCCAAGCAAAGTGGGAAAAAACCCCTTCAACTATATGTACAAATACACACTTGTTTTTATTCTTGTATATATGATATCTGTATGTAGTACAGTTATGTGTGAGATTTCTATGGCATTTCCTTACAAAGTCTGCTCTAGTCTGGAGGAAAGCTGATCTTTTGTTGCAGGCTTGTGACAGTTCAGCTCTCCTGTGGAACTGGCTGGGGTGTGACCAGGCAGTGGCCTTGTTTGCCACTTGATTAGAGGCTCCTCTGACTGTAATGATTGTGTTGGGCCATTCTGACACATGTGTATGTGGACTGTCAATGAATGGAGAGCAGGTCATTTTCAGCTAAGGCATCTTGTGTTTCTTTCAAATAGCGGCTGAGTGGACATAAGGGAGAGCATTGCACTTCTCAGCTTATCTGTCTGTTCAGGTTCATATAAAAGCAATACTCTGAGGTCTCTGAATGGTAGGAGGTTTTAAGCTCAGACAAATAAGTTGGTCGTTATCAGTCTTCTGCAGCGCCACAGGGCTTGCCTGTTTCACTTGAAGGCTTGCCAAGCAACACAACTTGCTCTGGTATTATTACTCGCTCATGACAGATTCTTTGGCAATTAACCTCCCAAAAAGTTCATTTGAAAGCTTTCCCCTCCTTCCCTTTCCTATTGTCACTTGTTATCAGGTACCAGTACAAGGGTCTGTCCTAGAAATTGTCTTTATGGACCTAGGAGCAAGAGGTCTGCTGTCTTCCACTACTGTGGAAGTTCTGGGTTTATTTACAGTGTTTTTCACCAAATTAATGAGAGACAAGCTACTGCTGGCATGGGCTGCATCCATTTCTGCCCATGCCCTACAATGTTGAGCATGGCCTCAGCCTGTAGAGCAGGCAGTGTGGACTTGAATCTTCACTCTTGCAGCATAGGTTTGGCTGTGGACCATTACAGTCAGTATCATGGAGACAGACTTTCTGTCCAGGCAAGGACCCTTCATGCCCAGAGATTTCCATTTCAGCCCTATGTAGCAAAACATGTTTATCAGCTTGCTTAGTACCCCAGGACGGGAGCTTCTCATCAGTTGTACATGCTTTGTGTCCTAACAGCTCTAAGGTTCTGCTGAAAGGGGGCTTACTTGGAGCTGTTGTTTCAATACTTTTCTTCCTCCACCTTTATAATTCCACAGTCTGCTCTTCCAGCCCTGTATTAATGTAATCTGGAACAGGACATTACCTGTGCCCCTCAGATACAGAACATTCCTGTTGATAATATAAATCCTTCTGATCAGAACTGCAAAACCAGGGAGGCTACGTAAAAAAGAGGTTACAGTCTTGTGTTAGGATGAAATAATTTCTTTTGAAGATGGGGGGAAAAAAGTGTTTCAGGTAACCTGTCTACTACCAAAAAAATAGTTCTATGGAAAATCACATACTTATATAGTGCTTAGAGAAAGGTAGTATAAATCACAATGTCCTAACAAAACAAGAAAGCACAAGAAGACACTAAACTCTTGTGTTTTAATTTAACAGAACTATAAGTAATAGGTGGTTCGTTAGGTCTATGGTAAGAGGGCTCTTTCAGCCTCCCAAGCGTAGCACTTCTATTTTTAAAAATGCATCTTGTTGTAGATACTGTTCTTCATATTATAGCTGGTTGTGTTATAGGCTCACAGGGTTGAATTACACTGCGATTGCAAGTATGGCAAAATCTGCTCAAACAAGAAGACACTTGTGTGTTTGACTAGTACAACTTATTGCGGTCCCTTCTACATCCAGACACCGTGCTGCACGTACAGAGAGAAAGCAGTTGCCAGAGTTTCTTGGGAAAGCATTAATGCTTTAAAAAAAAAGTTAATGTAGCAAGTGAGGGAGCTTCTTTACTAGCAGACAAGAAATGAAGAACTGTAAGTGCCAAAGAGGGACTCAGATGGGACCTCCGAGTGCCCAGGGGAGCTGGGGAAGCTGGATTCATGGCAAAACTCTGAACATGTGCATCTCTGAAAATCTTTTTGCCTGCAGATCTTACAGGCTGTAAAGTCTATTCACTCTCTCTGGCAGGCTTGGTACTGCTAAGAGGCTTAGTTAACCCCATAGTCATGGAGATCATCTGTAGCTCAGACTTAAACATGAGCAAGGGGTGACTAAGAAAGACTACTCCAGTTGCAGGATGCAGCGCTGCATATTGGCTGACTGCACATGTCAGTGAGACAAGTGGTGTTAAGGATGCCTGGAGAATGCAGAAGACCAGTTGTGCATTGCTGCAATTACACACCCCACTATTTGGGCCATGACTTGCAGTTTTTCAGGTGGTCTACCTAAAAATCTTGATTTGATGTTTAATTATAGTATCAGTGTACCTCTCAGAGGATCCTTTTTGTCCTCATGAGTTTCAGACTGGGTATTGAGACTTGAAGAGTTCACAGGAGGCAATTTCTGATTTTTTGGGATGCTATAGTTTTGAGAGTTGCATTCTGAAACATTTTGTTGCCCAAGTGTCTGGTGGGCAAGTTCTGCAGAGGACCTCACCTGCCAATTGGTTTCTGATTAACCTCCAAGTTTTGTATTTAGATTTAGTAATTTAAAAAAGCTATAGCTGCAGGATGATAATGTATCCATCTGAGGGATTTTGCATGATAATTTACTCTGTGCCATTTCCTTGTGTGTTCTGACATCTGATCCTGCCAGTTCCAGTCCAATTTCTAGCATGGACCAATTCTAGGAAGACAGCACTTCTTTCCTTTAAGTCTTTCTTGTTTCCTGCATCAGGCACAAGCAAACACATATTACAGCTTGCCTGAACTCCTGCTTGTCAGCTCAGCCTCCCTAATGGTCCTCTACATGTGGGCTCTTTTATTACTGCTACCTCTTCCCTGATGGTTTCTGATTGCACTGCTAGGAAGGTCTCTACCCAGATTTCCACATTGACCTTAAGCCAGCAAAACCTCTGCTTTTGTTTGCTCTGTTTTGAGAACCTCTAGGACTTTTGTAGCAGATGTGGTCATTATTCTTTTCCTCTTTTACTGTCTTTGGATCAGTTCCCAAGGCTTCTCCAGATTCAGAGCCTGATTTTGTTTTATAAAAGAGGTGGCCAGTTCTTCCCCATCCCTTATTTGCTTTGTTGATGGCAGTAGGAAAAGAACAAAGATGAACTCGTCCAGAACTTTCGAGGCAAGGAAAACAAATTGGGCCATGGTGTTGGAAGCAGATGGATTTCTCCACAAAGCTATGCTAGCACTGCCACTTCAACAGCTGGACAGATTTAGTCTTTGCTTAGAAAGCACAGCTGCAGTGAGAGCACAAGGGATCACAGCATGAGCTCAGCTGGGGTGAGATGCCTGAGTGGTGGGGAGGGCTGATGGGAAACATCTGCTTTTGAAGCTAGTAGCTCTGAGGCAGCTGTCAGAGATGTCCTGTGAGCTTCCCATCTCAGGAGTTGTCTTCAGCTGTCAAAATTGATTATGCTGGAACCCCCTCCTTCCAATGGGGCACCAACTGGGAAAGAGAAGGGGGAATGACAGCAGGCTGTGAGGAAGGTGTGAGGTGTAGTTATTGCTTTCCTGCATTCTTGTTTATACAGCTACTTTGAGTGATGGTGAGGATCCAGTGAGATGCCACGGGGTAAACTAAACCCTTTTATAACAGATCTTTGCCTCTCAAACTTTTACTGTACTTCTTGCATACTCTCGAGTTTGTCTGCACATATGTCCTCAATGTTTGCTCTTCCCCGTGCTTTGACGTGCCTTGTGGTGGTGCTGGCCAACTTCTCAAGCCTTGCTCTTCCTTTGTTTCTGTTTATATAATGTTAATGGGATTGTTTGTATAATGTTACTCCTGAATTTTGAAGTGTTTTTCCTGTCTGCTTTGCACCACAGTCAATGACACATGGAAAGGTAGAGGGGAGGTGGGCCTGAGTATGCTTATCCTAGGGCAGAGCAGTTGTATGGAGAGTGCATGAATGTGTGCATTGCTGAACCAACTTTGCTGGAAAAATCTCCATGACCCTTTCTAAACTGGGTTCTTGTCCTACACACAGCCATGTCATCTGAAGGCTCAAACTGGCAAAACTCAGCCCAGCTTCTGGTTGTAATCCTTTGTTTCCTAGTGAGTCCCTTGTACCCACTTTGCACTGGTGTTTTGGTTTGCAGTGTGGCAGGAAAAAGCGGTGATCCCAATGCTCCCAAACCAGTACAAAATAAATAAATTGCATCTATCTTCTGGATGCTGCAGACTCCCTTCGGTTACATTTGTTGCATAGAGCCACTGGTCTTCTGTTTATAAACCAATAGTTGCCCTTAGGACTTTCTCTAGTTGCTTATATGAATTCAAAATGCTAAATCTGGCTGTGGGATTACCAAGTCAGGGGTCTGTGTGGTCTCCCTGCTAACATTTATTTTTTATGTGGGCATGGGGTTGGTGTGTAGTCCATCTGCAAAATATTTTTTCTTTAGAAATTCTTGGATCCTCCTTATTTTCTTCTTATACAAGATAATAACTGATGGTGTTCTCCTTACATTCACAGTCTGAAGGCACAAGGCTGCAGAAGGACCTCAGAACTTACTTGGCTTCTGTAAAAGGTAAGGTCTGTGTAACAAGAGGATTGTTTCCCCCTCTAGTGCTTACCTATGCTGTGAAGTTTCTGCAGCCACCCCCTTCCTGGTGTTTCCTCAAGTGTGAGCTGTAGGAAAGGTCAGCCTTGTCTTGGTCAGGGGCCTTTCAGAATCCTTCAGGAGCAGGGATGGAATGGGGTTGTGCTTTGGTACCAAGCAGGCGGTGCTGGCCTAGCACTTATACTCTTTTCTGTTACAGGAGGATGAACACAAAGGGTTTGATGTGACTGCATCCTCGTTTTCTTTTTCCCTTTGGTTGCCCTCCATTTCTGTCTTATGAAGGGTCAGATGTTCTACAAGGAAGAACTTAGCATTTATTATAACCCTCCTGTGTCCCCATTACTCAGGATGAGGATTCAATCATGAGGAACATGCTATTTCCTTCTTTCTGAAGCAGTTACTTCTTTCCTAGCCATGCATGAGGCCTCCAAGAAGCTGACAGAGTGTCTGCAGGAAGTTTATGAGCCAGAGTGGCCTGGGAGAGATGACACAAATAAAATAGCAGAGGTAAGACACTGTCCAGGATGTGTGGTGTGCAGGCATGGTCTGTCAGTGGAGATAAGCTTTGGAAGTTGTCTGTGTGCCACGTTTCTTCAGGCATATGACTTTGCAGAAGAATTGGAGAGAAACTCAGCACTGGGAAGAATGGAAAGCTGAAGGGATGTGGCTTGAGTTTTTGTGTAGGACACTGTCCTGATACGGCTCCTATGTGGAGCTGTATGCTTATGCCCACAAGCAATTTGTTCCCCCAAGAGTGGCTGAACAGGGACAGAGGATGCCAGAAGAGAATCATTGGGGTCAACTGGATGTACTGCTTATGATTTGTGCAGGAGAAAGGGGATGCTAAATCTATGGCCAAAAAGCATGGTCAGAGCAGTTTAGAACTGCTACAAGCTCCTCCTTGCAGCACTGTCACCAGCTGCCCTCTTCTGGTTGCCACCTCATTTGGCTGAGCCATGTGTCACCCCAACCTGCTATTCTCATCCCTTGGTGAGGTGATGCCTGTCCAACATGCCCAGGTTTTCTGTGGAGCTTAGGGCACAGCCTGTCACTTGGGGGTGTGGATCCCCCTTAGCATATGTGTGAAGTGGGTCCAGCTGGCAGCGGGTGCTCTCTTGCTCAGCTGTGCTACTGAGCAGCAGCTGTGGTAGTTCAGTTTGGTGTGGATCCATTTGTCAGGAGGCTGCAGGACTGGGCTTAGCTGCAGCTTTCTATGGCATTGGAATGGTGAGGAAGGAATAGAGAGAAGAGCAGGAGAGGGTTTCTTCCCTTGCTCTGCTTTGCCTTGCAGAAAATCTCACCTGAAATAACATCTGCATGTGGGCCAGGAAATACTGACTTCAAAGTAGATAAATCAAACAAAACCTGAACGTTTCCAGGTCAATTCTTGTGTTAACATGGAAACTTTACATTAGGAAGTGCTGTTGCAGTAAATGATGGAGTTGTAGTTATGCTGGTTTGTCTTCACATTCTCTGTGGGTCTTGTTTCTTCCTGAGCCACTGCAGTATCTCCTGGGAGACTGCCCTTCAGAGAATTTAAGCCAGAGAGGTCAAAGGGAACATGAGTCCTGAGACCTCACTGTAGGGGTCCTGCCTCTGAGGGTTGGCAGGAAT